TTTTCAGAGTATAAAGGGATCCTGAGACCAAAAAATTTGAGAACTGCTGGTTCAAGTAAATTTCTAGAGACCAAAAATACTTCACTCAACAACTGTGTATTTCCAGTGAAGCATATACCTTTTTTTTTTCCAATTGCTTTTCCTTGGACTCAAAATTATATAGCACCCTAAGCTTTAGGAAGATGCTGGCAAAAGCACCCTGCAAACAGGACATGACAGTTGAGGGAAGGGAGGAGAAAGGTCAATAATTAATTGCTTATCGCCTGACGAGGAAGTAGGAGCTTGGTAAACACTCCAAGCGGATACAAACTCAGAACCACCCTGGATTGACAGAAGTGCGCCCAACCCACTGAACGTGGCTTAATTCTTCTATAAAAGGCTCTTATGAATGTCTTTTCCAATTTCATGCTAACATGAATAGTTATAAAATGTAGTGAAAAGAAAAAACAGGTAGGGGCATCTAGGTGGTGCAGCAGATAGAGCGCCGGCCCTGAAGTCAGGAGGACCTGAGTTCAAATCTGGCCTCAGACCAAACACTTGACACTTACTAGCTGTGTGACCCTGGGCAAGTCACTTAACCCCAATTGCCTAAAAGCAAAAAAAAAGAAAGAAAGAAAGAAAAGAAAAGAAAAAACAGGCTGACGTGGTAAATCAAGGCCAGAGGTATGCTGTCATTAACCTGAGCCCTCAGAGAACAGAATGTTAAATTTTCAACTTGAGTATTTACAGCTCGGAAACTGACAAATGCTATAGATGATGGCTTGATTTATTATTTTGTTGATTGCCTAGAGTTAAGGCAGTAATGGAGAAAATGTTAATTTTAAATTAAATTTAAATATATTGTGTGTACATTTCTCTCCCCAAAAGCCAGTTTTTAAACATTAACAGCACACCTCTATCCTCAAGGGTCCCCGAACCACATCTTGCCTTTTCTGAATATAAAGTAACGACAACACAGTCAATTCCCAATATCCCTCTGCTTGGCTCAGGTATGTCCCCTAACAGTGTATGTGAATTGCCATCCAGGACAGCCACTCCAGCTAGGGGACATTTCTGGTTATTTAGCACTAAGGATCTGAGTCACACCCCTCACACTTACTGGCTGTGAGATTAATCACAAGGGAACTTCCTTTGTCTCCATTCAGTAAGCAACCTCGATCCCATCTCTTAGAGAGGAGGGGTCAAAGTCCCTGCCCCTCTAACGGTATTAAAGTATAACTGGGAAATGTTTAGCAAAATTAATAAAAATACAACACAGATAATGTGTGGTTTTCTAAGTCAATATCATGCCTACTATTGAGTTGCACACCACTATAGGACAATACTCTGATTTGCAACTGTCTAATGAACTTTTCATGTAATATTATGTATTCTACTTACCTTATGTGGGTCTTATCTTCCTGTAAGTTACATGAAGTTATACGAAGGCAGGGACTCTGTCTTAGCTACATTCTGAATCTCTCCCAGCACCTACCACATTATTCTGTACACAGAAGGGGCCTGAAAAGGGTTTGCTGATTGGAAGTGAGTGACTTCATCTGAATCTCAGTGTTCTCATCTATCCAATGGGCATGACATACACACACCAGCAACAAAGTTGTTGCTTTGTAAACCTTTATGATAAATGTTGTTGCTGTTATTATGACTGTCAATTAAATTTTATTGTTCGGTCATTCAGTCATGTCTGACTCTTCCTGACCCCCATGGACTATACCATGCTAGTACTGTCCATTAGGGGTTTTTTTGGCAAGGATATTGGAATGATTTGCCATTTCCTTCTTCAGTAGACTGAGGCAAACAGAGGTGATTTGCCCAGGATCACACAGCAGGTAGGTGTCGAAGGCTGAATTTGAACTCAGGTCTTCCGGACTCCAGGGCTGGTGCTCTATTACACTGTGCCACCTAGCCATATCTATTAAATCTTGATTTGTAAACAGAGAGGCTTTGTGGGAATTTGGAGGTGGCAAAGACCTCAGTCTCCATCTAGTTCAATACATATAATGTACCCAGCAAGTGGTCACCCGCCCTCTAACTAAAGCCCTCCAAGGAGAAGGAGCCCACCACCTCTCAGGGCAGCCCATTCCACTCTTGGACAATTCTAATTATTAGGACATTCTTCCTGCTACCAAGCCCAAATCTGCCTTTTGTAAATTCTATACGTCGTCCCTGATTCTGTCCTCTGATGCCAAAGAAAACAAGACTAATTCCTGTTCCATGTGACAGCCCTGAAGACGGCTATCATGTTCCCCCTTTGGGGTCTTCCCTTCCCAGTTCCTTCAGATAACCCTCGCATGAAAGAAACTCAAGATGTTTTATCATCCTGGCTGTCCTCCTCTGGACCCACTCTAGCTATCGATATCCTTAAACTGTGGTGCCCATAACTGAACACAGTACTGCAGCTATGGTCAAAATTAAAGAGAATTATGCTTGGATAGGAGTATGGGTGGATAGAGTGCCAGGCCTAGAGTCAAGAAGACCTGAGCTCAAATCTAGTCTCGGACACTGGGCAAGTCATTTAACCCTGTTGGCCTCAGTTTCCTCATCTGTAAAATGAGCTGGAGAAAGAAATGGCAAACCACTCTAGTATCTTTGCCAAAAAACCCCACGTGGGGTCACAAAGAATTGGATACAACTAAAAAAAAATGACAGGACAACAGGTTGGGATGGGGCAAGGAGTTTAGCTAGTGTTGACAGTGAGAACTTTCCGTTCCCCTGACCTCCTCCAATTGTTTTTGTGCTCTGAACTGAGCACCTGGAGAGTAAATGGCCTAAAGAGATGCTTTCATATGAAATGTAGGAAAATGAACCTTCTCTTTTACAGATGTAGGGATCTACAGGTACCTGTTGCATTGATTCAATGAACTCTAGATCTGGAGGACAACTTAGCAACGATTTTGTCTAATCCCCTTTTATACATGTGAAGAAACTAAGGGCCACAGAGCTTATTAAGTGACCAGTCAGGTATCTGGTTAGACATATGAAGTCAACCAGAAATGAGCCAATGAGCTCAGAGAAAGCTTAATTCATCTTGGTAAATGATGTGTGCCCCAGTATCACATCTACACTGGCTCTTTTGAGGTTTTACAGTACTACTGAAATTTTCACATCCTTGTTTCCAAGCCTAGTAGGTTGTACAGTGGATAGACTACTGGGCCTTGAGTCAGGAACACTTGAGTTCAAATCCAACCTCAGACACTTCCTGACTGTGTGACCCTGTGTTACCTCTCAGGCCGTTTCCTCATCTGTAAAATGGGGATAACAATATCATCTCCCTACCAAGGTTACAAGAATCAAATGAGATCATATTTGTAAAGCACTTTGAAAATCTTAAAGAGCTATATGAATGCTGGCTATTATTATTTTTTTTTTATTATATAGAAGGAAGGATGGCAAGACAAGGGCATGGAATTAGGAGTCTGGACACTTCCAGCCATAGGTTTAGCCTTTGCTGAGACTCTATTTCTCCGACTCTATTTCTCCTTTGTAAAACGAGGGGACTGGAGCAGATGATGGAAAGGTCTCTTCTAGCCCTAACATAAGAGCAATGATTCTGTGGTCCTGGAAACTGACCCAGGCATCATCAGTAAACTGACAGATGAAAAACTTTTCTTTTATATGCATTCCTGGGGCAGTATTCCGTTGCCATTAAAAAGCCAACCTTTGCAATGGTATATTCCCTCCTAAAATGTGCTGTTGGCTTCCTGGAACAAGACTCCCCCCCTAATCCCACATCCCCCTTCCTGGATGCAGAATGAGAAGAAAGCCTCGAATGCTTCTTCATACCTCTCAGATGTTTGAATTATTTATCTTCTGATCTGGTGTTTAAAGCCTTTTATAGCCTGGTAACCTTCCCTCTACCTTTCCAGTCTTCTTATGCCTTACCCCCCACCACATACTCTGCAATGCAGTGACTCTGGTCTCCTTGCTGTTCCTTGATCGAGATGCTCCATCTCCAGATTCCTGGCACTGTCTCTGGCTGTCCCTCAAGGAAGGAATGCTCCTCCGTCCTCATCTCTGCCTCCTGGCTTCCCTCAAGTAAAATCTCACCTTCTACAGAAAGCCTTTCCTGATCTCCCTCAATGCCTACCCCCTGTTGATTACTTCCAATTTGCCCTATCTATAATTTAATTGTTTGCATGCTGCCTCCCCATCTGACTTTGAGCTCCTTGAGAACAGAGCACTTTGCCTGCCTTTGAATCCCCAGGGCTTAGAACACATCATTGTTGTTATTGTTCAGTCACATTCAACTTTTGGTGACCTCATTTGGGGTTTTCTTGGCAAATACATTGATGTGGTTTGCCATTTCCTTTCTCTGGCTCATTTTACAGATGAGGAAACTGAGGCAAACAGGGTCATACAGCTAGTAAGTGTCTGAGGCCAGATTTGAACTCAGGTCTTCCTGACTCCAGGCCCAATGCTCTATCCACTGTACCACCTAGTTGCCCAACAATCTACACTACACAGTAAAATCTGTTTCCTCTATTAACATACCTGGCCCTTCTAGTGTCAATAAAGACATCTCAAGGAGGCAAATCTGTATGTGTCTCTGAGCAGATGCGGCTCTAGTCTGAACCTCCCAGAACCCTTCCCATTGCAGAGCTGCTAACTTCTATATAACTGGCCTTATAGGCCCATCCCTTCTGGATGTTATCAATGTCACTCCCACCTCATAAGAGGTGCCATAATTCTTAGAGGTCTGGTTTACTGGCTCCCAGCATCCAGAGTCGGCCCTCAATGACTTCCAGTTAGCAGAAAGCATTTTGGACAGGGTCCAGTGTCTACATGGCAAATGAATAGGTATTTGTTCCTGCCCGACCCACCCTTCACCACCTCCAACAGCTGCTATGTCCACATATTTCCTCGACCTATTACTAAGGTATGCTCAAACTGGGGGGAAAAAAAAGATTTAGGATCTGGATCTACATGGAAAGACACTGGATTTCTTGCTGTCCCCTTCACCACGTGAAAGTGATGGATGAGGAAAGAAGGAAGGGTCTCACCTCATCCATTCCAGAGGCAGTGAAGAAAATCCCTATTTCCTCAGCATATTTCTGTAACTCTCTATATTGGTCATGGCTGAATTCGAGGTGGCGTTTATGCTCTCCGTAGGTTTTCCCCCAGGAGTGTTTAGAAGTATAAGGTCGCTCCAAAGCCCGACGGTTGAATTTGTGTTCCAGCTCACTCTTCTGAAATTTGGCACAGTCGGCCCCACACTCCTGAAAGACACATTAGAACGGCAGCTGATGAGTGATCCCCTCACTCTGGACAGTCTAATCCCAAAGGAGCTCATAACTTAAAAAAGACAAACATATTTAAAAATACAATACATATTAAATAAATATATTTATTTATTAAATATATAGATATAATATATTTGTTTGTATTTATATATTTAATATAATATATTTATTTGTATTCATATATTTAATACATAAATATAATGTATTTATTTGTATTTATATTTAGTATATAAATATAGAAATTTATATATTATAATATATAAATATATTTAATATATATTTGAAAACAAAATATTTAAATAGGATTTGGGGTGGAAAAAGTAGAAAGTCTAAGGACAGATGTTCACATTGTACAGTCAGGACTATCTGGATGGGGCAGAAGTAGAGACAGCATTTCATTAAGGAATTAGAAGACCCTAGAGATGGCTCAGCGGATAGAGGGCTGGGCCTGAAGTTGGGAAGACCTGAGTTCGTATTTGACATTTACTAGCTGTGTGACCCTGGGCAAATCACTTAACGTCTGTTTGCCTTAATCTACTACAGAAGGAAATGGCAAACCATTCCAGCGTCTTTGCCAGGAAAACCACATGGGCATGCTAGGGTCGACAGGATCACGAAGAGTTGGATACAATAACAAGTTGTAAGGAAAGAGCCACCAGTGAAGGTTCCCTTTCCTCTTCCCTAGCTTCCCTCACCTACCTGTCCCAGACCCCATTGAAGCATCAGGGCTGCCCACACTGCCTGAATGAGTTGGGAATTACCCACTACAAACAGAAGACCACTTCACTCTCTGCCCTGCAACTAATATACCCTCCAGGCCTCTGGGGACTGCCATAATAGCCTACCAATGCATCTTAAAGACTCTTAGGCCTTCACATTCTTGCTACGTGGCCTTTAGAACAGGAGTTCTTAAGGTTCCACAGAACTCCTATGGATTGATGCTCTAAGAAGAGTTTATGGAAAGCTCCATTTTTCAATATGTTATCTTTTCCCCATTACAACGTAAGCTCCTTGAAGGTCATCTTTCTTTTTGCTTGTAAATAAATTTGCTTGTATTCCCAGAGCTTAGCACAAGGCCCAGCACACAGTAATCACTTAATAATGCTTATTGACTTGAGGATGAAAAGTTGTGGAGAGTAGAGAAGTATCAGGGAAGTCTTTCAGGTCTAAGTCCCAGGTCACCAACTTAGAAGAACCCACATTATCTGCTTTGGATGGAGAAGTGGTTTCAAGCTGAACTAAAAACCAAGTTTCCTCTGCATTTAGGTTCCCCACAACTCCCAGTGAAATACAGGTGACTCTCCTTCACTCAAACTATGGGAGCACAGCCGCAAGCGTGGGGCAGCAACTTCCAAACTAATTAAAGTTACACACAGTTTAGAGGTTGTTCCTGGATCACCGAGGATGCCAGGTCATTCATAAACTAAGAGTTAGAGTGTCAGAGGGGGAAGATGCCTGAAGGTACTAGCACGATAAAGTTCAAGGCGTCTCCAGGTGAGGCCAAGAAACTCTCACATCCTCCCTCTCACCGAGGTGCTCTTTCCCATGGTACCTTGTCTACTGGTACAGCAGTGTTCTAAAGCTTTGGAAGAGCCAGTGTATCTCCCTACTAGGCATTCTTCCGCCCCCTACTCTGACCCTTACTGCTAATTTGTTTGAGTTAATCTAGGGGTTCCGTGTGTGTGTGTGTGTGTGTGTGTGTGTGTGTGTGTGTGTGCGCTGAACCCCTCTGGCAGTCTACTGAAGCCAAGGGACCCTTTCTCAGAAGAAGGCTCTTGAATGCATAAAATAAAATACACACAACCAATTATGTGGAAATAGTTATCAGAATATTAAATAAAAGAAAACAAATTTCAGTGACAATTCTCAAGAACTCCACTTTCAATCCCTCAACCCCCTCATAGAAGGGAGCCCAGGTTAAGAGTCCCTGTTTTAATCTCGCCACCCTGTCAAAGCTCACCACCTCCAGGCCTGCCCCCAGTCTCACGACTCCTTTCTCCCAGCCTCGTGCACGGAGGTCACTAAGCTGCTCCCTTCCCCACATTCCCCAGTCTCTTTATTTGGCCGGGGCTGCTACCTTTGCCATCCGGATCATGCGCTTGGCCACGTCCAGATCGCCCTGGTGGTTCTGCCCGATCTCGGCGATGATGAAGCAGGGATGGCTCCCCCCGACCCAGCGTCCGGGGCACAGCTCCAGCTCCAGCGGCATCGTGGCGTCCCCGGTAGCGCAACCCAGCCCAGCCGCTGTTTCCGGGGCTCTGCTCCCCTTACCTCCCAACCTCCGGGAGCACAATCCGGCCCAGCCTACCCCCGACCGCAAGCACGGGCCACGTCAGGGGAGCCTCCTACCTTGGAGCCAATCCCCTTCCAGCCAGACGCCCACCTGACACCCTGAAGCCAATCAGTGAGATGCAGAGGGCTGGGGCCGAGCTAGCGGGAAGTGGGGCGAAGCTTGCGGAGCTGGAGCTTTCCTGCGCTCCTGGAGGTCTTCAGGCCGGAGCCCAGCCCCCTCCTGGAGGCGGTGGGGTACTATATTAGGCCCTGAGCCCCCGACCCCGTGGTACTCCTGTGACCTGGAGTTAACGAGATCGTACAATTCATGTGATGCTCTAAATAAAAAGAATGAATGAATGAATACATAAAAATGAATACTCTCAGCACCCAAAAAATCCTGTAATCCCCCCCACCCACTCCAGGGACAGTTTCGATGAGCTTGTAGAGGAAAAAAGAAATCATATGTTTAGATCTCCTCTTTATTTATCTTGTATTAGTTATTTACATCTTGTCTGCCCAGTTAGAGAGTCAGCCCCTTGAGGGCAGGGTAAATGATTCTTTACATGTTGTCCGTCCCATTAGAAAGTGAGTTCCTCCAGGACAGAGTCATTTTTCTCGTCCTTTCTATCATCAGTGCTTAGCAAGATGCCTGGCATATAGTAAGAGCTTAATAAATGCGTGTCAACTGTTTATTTCACAAACCATATACATCTAGTCCAGGGACTTTTCATCTTTTTTATGTCATGGACCCTTTGGCCATCTCGTGAAAACTATGTGTTTTTTAAAGGCGTAAGGTAAAACATAAGATTACAAAGGAAACCAATTATATTGAAATAGTATGTGTGTATATATGTGTGTGTATATGTATACGTACATCTATATATATACACACACACATTCTATACCTATACCTATACATATATATGTATAGACTGTCTGCTTTTTATTGAGACCCTGGCAGTGGCTGCAACATATTACTAAGGCACTTTTCTTATATAAAAAATGGGCAGGGCTTTAATTAATGTCTCTGAGACGGCCACAGGGACCTGATTTCAGAGCTTTTGGACATAATGTAACTTTATATAGTTTATGGTCTATAGGGTTGATTTTTTTTTTATTTTAAAGTTTTCTTTGCTCATAGGTAGGTAAGTCTGAGTAATGCAGCACATACTACAGTTTAGAATACAGCCAGCGTGTGGTGGAAAAAATGAAGACTGCTCCCCAGAAGCACAGTTCCAGTGGAAAGGCAGTGATGAAGACCTTGTTTTATTCTTGAGAGACACATAAGACCGTGCAGACTAAGGACTTTAAGCTGGAATCAGTCAGAGTACATTTTTAAAAATAACTTTATGCAACTCAGGTTAAAAACCCCTGATCTCTAGTCCAACTCTTTCATTTTACATGGAGACCCAGGGAAGTAAAGAGACTTGCCCAAGGTCATGCAGGAAATAAATGAGAGAACCAGGATTTAAATCCAGTTCTTCTGAATTCAGAAGCACTGTTCTTTTCATCATACCTGTCCTTTCTGCCTCGTCATGCAGGGGTGGGGAACCTTAGGCTTTAAGGCTGCATGTGGCCTTCTAGATCCTTAAGTGTGGCTTTTTGACTGAATCCAAATTTTACAGAAGAAACTACATGTGGCCTCAAGGCCCCAGGTTCCCCACCTCTAAGCACAACTTTCTTGGCCATAAGACTCTGCAGACTTAATTGAAGTTGGTCCTCCAGATGACAGTCTATTGTCATTGTTCTAGTGAAACTTTCTTGAATTCTACTGGTATAGCTTTTGAGAATTTGGGTCACTTCCACCTCCCAAAGGAAGCTTTTACTTCATATGCTAAGAAGAGGGTATACTCTTCTTATTATATTAAATTCTATTTATCTGGGTGTGCCTTAGTTTTGGGTGCCACCTACGATAGCATTGGTGTATGTGTGGTGTGGCTTTGTCCTTTGTTCTCAAATAGGACCACGACGTCAGGGAGGTGATGCCCTGACATGCAAGTGAATCAGATTTAAGTGAGGGAGGGCTGTGCAAAGTCACCAGCCTCACTTTCTCCTCCAGAGCCATCTAGGTCCAGTGGTGAGACATAGATCAGGATGCCTGGAGATGGTTCAGTGGTGTAAGAAAGCCTTGCTAAGGAAACGTCTTTCACCAATGCAGCTTAGCTAATGCTCTGCAACTTGGGAAGCTGTATGTCTTATGTCCCAAAAGCCCATTGGTATGATACTCTCTCATTAGCGGCAATCGATGCCCCAAGTTTGCATTAGGAATGGGGCAAGTGGGCAAGAGGGAATTGATAAAAACCAGAGAGAGTCCCACACCAATGGGCTTTGGGACTTAGGTTACACAATCCCTACAAATATTGGTAAGCTCTCCAATGGGCATCAAACTTTAAAAAAAAAATTTGCATTTCCCCCAGTGCATTTTATGTGGTAAGTGTTTAATAAATGCTTGCTGAATTTGAAGTCAGGGAGACTTGGGTTCAAAACCTGCCTCAGATCTTTAAGAACTGCAGCTAGGTGGCACAGTGGGTAGAGCACCAGTCCTGGAGTCAGGAGGGCCTGAGTTCAAAAGTGGTCCCAGATTCTATGTGTGACCCTGGGCAAGTCACTGAACCCTGTTTGCCTCAGTTTCCTCATCTGTAAAGTGAGTTGGAGAAGGAAGTGGCAAAACACTCCAGTATTTTTGCCAAGAAAACCCCAAATGGGCTCACAAAGGGTCAGACGTGACTGAAACGTCTCAACAACAGCAAAATATCCTGGCCAAGTTACTTCAGCTCTCTCAGATTTCAATTTCTTTATCTGTGAAATTGGGAAATTAAAAGTAATGACCTAAAAAATGCACTTGTTGTGAGGAGCAAGTGAAATAATGGTATTATTATTATTATTATTATTATCATTATTATTATTATTATTATTCTATAAGGTATCCCAAAAGTCCTTGTGCCATTTTAAGCTTTAATAACTTAAAATAGCTAATATATGGAAACACCTCAAGTGCTATATAAGTATTATTTATTATGATTAAGTTAAACTAACTTTAAAGTGGCCCCAAGTATTCATGCAGGTTGTTCTTCCAATCAGGAAAGTCTATTTGGGAAACAAAATCATTACCCCAATGAATTGAGACCAGGAGAGCCTGGGTAGAGGGAGCCCAGTTTAGGCTATTGCAACAGAAATGATAACATCAGGATAAGTGGAGATAGGTAACTTTGGGGATTAATGTCATTAAACTTGACGCATCATCTTTGCTACAGAGATATGTACAGATGGGAATGTGCCTGCCAGCCTTTGGGGCACCCCTTCTCCTAGATGGTGCTAGTGGCATATGTTCTTATATAATTCTCCATTTTCAATATTGCCCTCCAGTCAATCCAAATAGCTGTCATTACAACTTTCCCTCATAAGGACTTCATTCATTCATCTGTTTAACATTCATTAATGTCCCACTGTGTGTAAATAACTTGTTGGGTGGACAGAGGGAAGAGATTTAAACTTTGGAGAAAATTTAATCCCTGCCATGACAGAGTTTCCAGTCTGGTCAAAGGAGAGGGGGCACTTATACAGGTAAAATAAGAAAGCTAGGTCCTGATTAGTGTGAACAATGAACCCCCTGAAGACATCACATTTTTCAAATTTGTGGGGCACTGGGATGTCCATCCATTGGGATGGAACCCAGTACCGAATCTTACATAATTATAACTCCCAAACAGTGCAAATTCAAATACATGCAACCACTTCAATTCATTATTCAAACTAATTGGGACTTAGCTGTACAAAACCTTGTGACTTTGATAGAGCAAGTATTTATTCCCACTTTACAGATGAAGAGATTGACTCAGAGACTCACCAAGGCTCACAGTTAAATGTCAGAATATAAGTTCTTAAATTTAGGCCTAGAAAGTTATCTACTCCAACCTCATTTTACAAGCAAGAAATGACTTGCCTTATATTACACAAGCAGTAAGTAGAAGAGGTAAAATTGGAACCCAGTGCACACTGTGAAAAATGATTATTAATTATCAATATCTTACAGATTCAGAACTTCTCGCCCTTCCCCCCTCTGCTTCTTTCGAAGTCCTGACTTTAAGTTCAGTCTTTCTTCAGAAGGACATTATTGATAATGAGATTATATTGACTTTCCTTATCCTGCTCAGCCCCTACCCAATCTTGCAAGTAATTTAATCGACAGTAGGGAAGTCCATTGTGTTCTATGCAAGCTTGGGTAGAGACAGGTTCTCTTGTCTATATAGCTGAAGGCTGGGAGTTGTCTGGTATAGAGTGTTCAGGGGTGAAATGATGATGCGGAGACTGCAGGCCCTGTTGGAAGGGTATATAAAGTGTGCACCCTAACCTAAGGTTGACAGTACTTTCCACTGTACCACCCAGTCTTCTCGCTGTACACAGCTTGTGATGACATTCATGTTACAATTGCTAAGGGATCACCTGTTTTAGATCAGCTATCTTTTAAATTGATGCCTTCCTCTATTAGAGGCACACTAGGCCCCTTGCTGAAATTCAGAGAATGCCCTAGAGTTTATGTGTAATAGCCTTACATTTGGGTGTCCTAAACAAGAATTGATGGGGCAGCTAGGTGGCACAGGGGATAGAGTGCCAAGCCTGCCGTCAGTAAGACTCCTCTTCATGAGTTCAAATCCAGCCTAGGACATTGCTAGCTGTGTGACCCTGGGCAAGCCACTTAACCCTGTTTGCCTCAATTTCCTCATCTATAAAATGAGCTGGAGAAACCTCTCTAGTATCTTTGCCAAGAAAACCCCAGAAGAAGTCACGAGGAGTCAGATATGACTGAACAACAATAAATTGCTTTGTATACATTTATTTGCATGTTGTCTCTCCCATTACATTGTAAACTCCTGAGGCCAGGGACTGTCCTTTGCCAGTGAGCTGGAGAAGGAAAAGGCAAACCACTCCAACATCTCTGCCAAGAAAACCTCAAATGGGCTCATGAAGAGTTGGATATGACCGAAAAATGACTGAACAACAACAGAGACTTGAAAATTGCAGTGTTATCATTGTCAACCCAAGGCGTCGACCCTTCATCATAAAA